TCGGTGCCACGCCAGCCAAGCCGAGCAAACAAAAGCTTCTTACAGAAAAAACATGGCAGAGGCAAGGGCTAATATCATCAAGCAGGTCTGCGAAAATCCGAGCACCGGCTTCGGCAATCAAGCTGAAACCCTCAGACAAGCGCGATTGCAAGATCCGCGCATCACGAGAGAAGATGTGAAGCGCTTCATGAATAGTTTGATTACTCGAGAGGACCGCCCCCAACGCGGCTATAACAGCTACGTGCCTCCAGAGCCAATGCATCAGTTGCAAGTCGACCTTGCGGACATGAGCAGCTTTGCTCGAGGTCCCTATCCTTACATGCTGGTAGCCGTCGACAGCTTCACCAAGAAAGCTACGGCAGTACCCATGAAAGACAAAACCGCGAAGACGGCTGCAGAGGCTTGGAACAAGGTCGTGTCAGATTTGGGGATACCGGCTTATGTGTACTCAGACGACGGGAGCGAGTTCAAGAAAGAGTTCAAGGATAAGTTGGACTACTGGGATATAGACAAAGTGGTTTCTAGAGGGCATGCTTACATGGTAGAAAGAGCGATACGAACCCTGAAAGAAGCCTTAATCAAAAGACTCAGCGCTGGAGTGGGCAGACGCAACCAGTGGCACTTGCTTTTGCCAGACGTTCTAGATCAGTACAACGATCGCAAACACGCCGGCACGGGAGTGACGCCGAACGAAGCCTACGACGACCCTCAAAAAGCTCTGAAGGCTCTGAGAACCATGCAGCGCAATGCGAAGCGAGGAGCAGAACCGAGACCTGAGCTACAAGTTGGGGATCAAGTTCGGGTGAGGGTGAAACCTATCGAATCCCGAGCTTCCTACAGGGTAACCGAAACAGCTTGGACGGAGCGGGTCTACACAGTCTCAAAAGTGGACTATACAAACGCGGGACCTCTGTTCACTCTGGAGGGATGGGGTGGGGGTCGCTTGACTGCCAGAGACCTACGCAAAGTTCAAGGCGAAAGAGACAGACGCTTCCCAGTGCAAAGCAGAGAACTCCGCACAGCCAGGGCCGCAGCGGACAGAAGAGCGAACTTTCCCATCGGT